TGCTGAACCTGATGCATAAAATAACATCATTTGCATGTATGAAAAACTTTTTCATTAAAGAACCATTTCAAAATGAATATAAAATTTGAAGTTTAAGAGAAAACTTTGGGGTTTGGAACTGAGATGCAGACGATAGATGAGATTGTTTACATTAAAAGTAAATATGTGAAGATGTTTCAATGTTACTATCAAATTATATGCCATTTTACAGAAGCAGTCTAGTGTTACTGTGTGTATTTGTGTTATCATAGCTTATATGTTAAAAAAGTCTGCACAGAAAAGGTTTGGTATTTTCTTTCTTTGTTTTCTTTTCCGAAAAATGATTCTATGCTTGAAGCACAAGGTTTGACATTTTAAAATAGAAGGTCTAATTGTGCCTTGCCACATTGTCTGCATGGCTTTTGGCAAATTTGACTTGTACGTTCATTTCTTTTCCTGTAGAACATAAAGCCACATGCTTGACCAAAAGGTGAATGAATAGTTAATGTTATGTGTTTTAAAGTAGTATTGCTGATATTTTGGAAAGTGGGAAGAATTGAGAAAATTATGCCAGATTACAAGGGCAGAAGAGCTGTCTGGAATTTATTTTGGGGTGTTTTTGTTTGGGTTGTTTAAATCATGGTCTTACGATCAAAGACAGTTATGGCAACCCATATTTTAAAGGATGAGAGTTTTGATTTTAGGGGGCCATTTTTAGAGCACATGTATCTTTTCAGATGGGTGAGGAAGAGTGGTCAGTTTGGAGCCTGTCACCTCTTTACAGTGTGTGTGTGTCTCTCTCTAATCCCATTTGGAAACCCTGTTTGAATTCAAGTATAAATGTGAGAACTCTTTGTCTCGACCTGATTTCAGGATGAGCTTTTTATTTTATTTTCCGGTAGCAATTATTCAGAGTTCTTTACTCTTTCTTTTACACACCTAGTAGTTTTTCTTAGAGGGTAGTGGTTAAGTGCATTAATGTACTTTAAAGGAAATTACTGTATCCTCTGAACACAATAGACCAGCAGCGATACCTGTTCTAATAGGAAATTCATGGAGGCTAAGAATAATCAGAAGGGCTAAAATATGAGCCTGAAAATGAAGTAATCTTGGTGAAGCAGAATAGAAGAAAACACTTCAGCCAGTTTTTATCAAAAAAATAAAAATATGAGAAACTAAACATGCAGTTGCATTAATAGGAAATTACTATTTCAAAATGTGTGAGGCAAAATGTGTTTTCACTGAAACTGGCGCTATCTTTTTGTGTTTTAGAATCAGGTGCTGTTTTCACTTTTGGAAAAAGCAGATTTGCAGAAGACATTCCTAGCAAGTTCTGGTTCAAAAATGACAAGCCTGTACTTATATCGTGTGGAGATGAACATACCGCTATTGTTACAGGTCAGTATTGGAAATGGAGTATGTGATAAAAGGTTACATATTTGGACAGCTTGGAAAGTTATGATTCTCACTTGAATCCTGAGGTAATGTATCAAATGAGGCTGTGTAGAGGAGAGGGTGCTGTTCTGTGGGAAATACGGGTGCCTTTGAAGTTAGTGTGAGGTCACCAGAGGTTTTCACAAGACGTGCCCGAGATCTGTCATGAGGGAATCCAATCAATGAATGTATCACACTGGATTTAAAGTAAGCATGACTTTGTTCATCTTGAATGTTTCTTGTGAATCTGACAGTGTCAGCAGACAACCTTAGATATTGAGGTTTGTATTGTGGAAGTAGACAGTATCTGTTGAACACAGTCAACAAATTCACTAGAAATCTGTCTGAAACAATAAAGAAAATTATATCTCTGAAATGAAGATTTGAATTACTGTTAACCGTCAACTGAAAAAATAACCCTTGAAAGAGCAACTCCAAAAACTTCAGAAAATCCTGCTAAAATCAGAAATAAATTGCAGAAGCATTCAAAGAAGCTCAGATACAATACAGTGAGCAGTATTTGTGTTCATTTTGACTTCTTTGAAATGGTGGAAGAAATACTCATTGAAGAATTTGTTCAGTTTATTTTATGTATAAGGGACTACTCTGTTGATGATCACAGGTGTCAATTGTATTGACAATCAACTGCTGATATATAATAAGACTTTATTGTTGTGAAATTTATATACATATTTTTCAGCACTTCTTTTTTGTTGGAATGCATTTATTCCTCCTCAATGAGCAATTGGTCATTGCTCATTAAATACTTTCTTGAAGGTCTCTTGCTATGTCCCCAAGCAAAGTTGAAGATGCTGGATTTTTAGAATGAACAATTCCAGACATTATAAAAGAAGAGTTTAGATTTCATGGACAGCAGAACATCTTGAAGTGAAATTATACAATGAATTTTTTAAGCATAACTTCATAAAAGATGTATTATCCATGAATCCTCCAGAAGTGCATGCCAATAATAAGTTTACTGAGAAGGGTACAGACCTTGTGGGAAACCAAGGCCATCTTGAAATCCAGCTGAACCTTACCTTGAAGAGATAAAAGACAAACATCACTGAGCAAGGAAAAGTGTCTCATGCAGGTGTGTGTTAATGCATGTTTTCTTTTATTTTCAGTCTTTATTTACAAATCACAAAATTCTGTCCTCCATTTTTTTTTTTCCCTCCCACTGGAAGAGGTAGTGGGACCTGTGTATGTAAGGGACAGTAGGATTAAAATCTAATAGAATAGATCAGTTTTGCATGAGCACGTCTCAACAATCGTAAGTCAGTCAGTTACCCAAGCTGATAAAGAACATTCCTGAAAGCTGGTTTTGGCCAGGAGACACAGATACATCTAGCACTGACTCTTGACTGAATGCAAATGAAAAAAATGTACGGGAACTAATATTTAGCATTCAAACAAAATATTCAGAAATTTTAAAATACTTCTTTCATCTAATCTAACATCAATATTTTCACATGTCTTTTACGAAGAAAAGTGTAAAATAAATATAAACCCCACTGTTATTTGGCTTTCTAGGTCAGGAGTTAGGAGTAAAATTTTATTTACATACTGTGGGTGTATGTTGGAATAGAAAGGACCAGTGATAGTTACTTGCTGACTTTTAGTTGGCTTGCTGAGCTAGCTGGAGAAACATTTCCTCCTCCAGTTTTGGAGTTTGGGATTGAAATTTGTGATGTATTTTTTTTATTATTATTCATTTGCTGTCTACCTTTAGCAGAATCTTCATTAAAATGTTCAAGCAGGAAATTTTTTTAGCAGTTGTCTTCTTTAGTTCTTTAATACAGTCATGAGCGGCATATCTTCCAGTATCACTTGTGATATGTTTAATGATGTTTCTTGTCCTGTTTCTATATTTTTTGGCCCAAGAATACTGATAGTGCACTCCCTGCATCTTTTGTAACTGCAGACTTTGGAAAGCAATTTAGTCATCCTGTGGGGAGCTGGTGTGAAGTAAGTGACATTAGGCATGTTTTTAAGACTCTTCTCCCAATACCTTTCTATTAATTTTCTTTTCTACAAAACTCTTAAAGTTAATGGCTGTCTTGATGTTTATTTGCCTTGATTAGAGTATCCTAGGGAGCTTGCCCACACTTGGTCAAAGAGACTGATCCTGTTCACAAGGGGGAAAATGGTGATGATGGAAGACACATTTTTCTGAACTCAGAGCTCTGGAGAGAATTGAAGCCCCCAGTGCAAGAGGGTAGAAGGAAAAAAAGAAGTATTAAGTGTAAAAGTAGGAGTGAAAAAGAGGTGCATATGGAACCACAGCAAGATAATATGCTCATAATTTCATGTTTTGTAAGCCATTAAACGTTCAACAGTTTACACCACAGAGACCTTGGAATCTCTCCAGAACTTTGGACAGCAGATTCCTTCTATGCTTTCTGCCTACCAGCAGGCCATCACAACATGGCACAGAATTGTTTGCATCAGCTGCATGGGGAAAATGAGAAAGATCAGTACTTGTTTGTGTTGATCTTTGATACGTGTAGTAGCAAGCAACATACTGTGCTGGTTTTGTTTGTGTGATGCTAAATGTCCTAACCATGACTGTTCTTATTGCTCAATAAAGCTTTTATTTTGAGAATATCGTGACTTGCCTAACTAAATCGATGTGATTCCATTTTCATGAGGTGTGTTTGAATTGTATATGGATTTTAAATGAGCTGTTAACATAGTTTACTCACAAAATTGAACAAATAAATACAAAAAAATCATGGTGCCTGGCATATGATAATTTGTCCAAAATATTACTTTTTGTGTTTTCTTCAGATACAGCTTCTCAATAGCATCTTGTAATAAATGCTCTAAGTCTGTACATTGCCTCCCCATTTTGTTTCCCTTCCACACTAATAGAATTTAGAAAGCAAGGGGGGGAAATATGTAAAATGTGCCTTTAAACATAGGTGATAGGAATACTTGGATGCCTGCTATTATCATGAAACATGCTGAGGATTTCAGCTGGTATTTCCTAGCTGCTAAATGAATGCCTCATGAACCAGGGGAGCACATGGGGTTCCCAGGAATCACAGTTGATAGCAGCTACTTGTATGAGAAAAGTGCTGGTTAGGAGACACTTACTTCCTGAAGTCTCTCACAAAATCCTGTGTTCCTAAGGATGAGAGTATCTTGTGGCCTCCCTAATAGCCCTGAATTAATGTTGATGAAACATTGACTGGTGATAAGCCAATGTTTACATAATTTGGATTTTTCCTCTAGTCTTGCATAAGAATGAAGGTGAAGGCTGCTGTTGGAAGTGTTTTCCTCCCCAGAACAGTCCTCGTAGTCCCTTTCTATACTGTTGTTTCCCTCCTGCTGCATAATCTTACTCTACCTGACCTGTCTTCTGCCAACCATTCAAGCTGGCAAACAGCCTTGGTCTCTTGTATGTCAGCACCAAAGTGGAAGCCAAAAGTCAAGAGCAGTCTGAGTTCACAAAGTTTTGAAATGTGATCCTTGCCTATTTGTCTACTGTTGAATTAGTCCTCACTTCAGTGGACCTCTGGTGATGACTGGAGGTATCTCAGTATGCAATTATGAAAATAAGGTCTTTTGCATACAAAATCCTGTGGTGTTTCCTGTCCAGCTTAGATTGCATCATGTCTTTTTCAAACCTTAAGTTGCTATACAGACCCAGAAATGTTAATTCATTACAGGCATTTGTTTAGCTTCTCTGTAGTGCCCATTAGTTTTCATTCACTGTCTGAATTACCTGCTTCCCGGTTTTCCTGTTTTCTGTTACACTGCTAAGTGTTGGAAGCCTGAATTATACAAGGCTGTCATTCAGTTCTAAAAGAATGTTAAAAAATTCCTCTCATCTCTTAAGCTCCTTGACTTAGAAAGCAATGCCTGAAAATTTAAAGACTGGTATAAGAAACAGCAGATTATAGGATGAAAAGCATGACCTGTTGGAATTTTGAATGGATAAAAGAGAATATGATTAAATTGAATTATAGCAGCTTGGCGTTATATTCCCACAGGAGTTTGACTGTCTGACAAAGGCAATTAAAAATGTAAACCAATGATACAAGGATGCATATACCAATATAGGATGCCATTTGCTAATAAAAATGCTTTCTGTTAAGGTACACTTTGCTCTCAGTGACAGACAGCTCTTCATGTGTTTTGACATGACAGCTTTATCAAAATCGGGATGGTGACATAAATGCTATTTGTAAAACTGCATGAGCGTAGACTTGACCTCAGACTTTCTTCTGTTTCAGCTTTCTTGGAATGTCATAATATGGACACACAGCCCCATGTTCCAAAAACTGTCAAATCTAACAATTTGATTGGGACTTTAGATGCTAGTTATTGTTAGTTGTTGGTGTTGTGGTTAGTTTTTTAAAAATAAATGGATTTTTTTTAACAGAGTAAGTATTTCTATTGTATTTTAAACATTTCAATATCGTATTTTAAAGCCTCTGTAAATCACATGCAGAAACCTCTGTGGGAACCTTGGCTTCCAAAGTACAAACAGCCATAATATTTCGGCTTTTTATGTGAAACTGCTGTTACGTGATGTGATTGTCTGATAATTGTTGACGGTTAGGGTGACAAAGTTTATTTACATGACAGTCTTGTGATGGAGTCTAACTCAAAACTTTGTAAACCTTCATCAAAAGTGAACAAACTTTTTTAACAGCTGTAAAAAGTTGAGGGGTTTTTGGCAAATAGTTTTCTATGGTTTTGCAAAGATTTCTGTTGAACAAGGGTTTTATCTTTGGGTGTGAACTTAACAGCTATACAAAAGCTAATAGTTTAAAAAATGAAATGAAATGGAAAAGGAAGTGAATGAATTCATTTTAAGGTATTGTCACTAGCCAGTTTTGGCTGTTTAATTTGCAGGCCTGACGACAAAAGTTTCATCTGTTCACATACCATCCTTTTAAAAAAACACCAGTTATTCAGAATTACAACAGTTCATTGTTTGTGAAGGTCAAACCTGCAAGTTCAATGAGCCATCATACCAATTTTTGAAATATAATTCTAGCATTGTTCCTCTGAAGATTTGTAACCTAATGTTTACATATAGGTTTACAAAGCTCCCTGACTCCATAGTGGTTTTATGCATTCCCTCTTTATATGCTGAGTACCAAATTAATACAATTTGTGAACACATTTGAAAATTTATATGAAACTGTATTCTGTAGAAGTGCAAATTTGTAAATGATATTAAGAGAAGACATTTATCAGTAAAAGAAATAGCCCCCATAAACAATAAAATCAGCTGAATATTACGAATTTGTGTTTGTATTAATTACATAGCTGCATTATTCTTTCCTGTCTTTGGGGTAAAAGGTGTGGGTGCTCAGTTAAGCATGCTGTTATTTTATAAGTAGGCCTAAAGATGCTGTGGTTTTTGAACTGCAGGATCTGTCTGAGAGTACAGCATTTTATTTTCAGTAGAGCACTTTATCTGTGCTGTAATTGCAGGAGAAGATGTTTGTTCTGCTTTTTTTCCCTTCTTCTGGCTGGGGATTTCTTACTTAAACAATGCAATTACTACTTTTGTACTGAAAAATCTCAAGGACATTAATTATTGTTTACACTTAAGTTTTCAATTGCTTAAGCCTTGCATTAAAGGTGAAGTAATAAATAGCATAGTGTGTGTGAATGAGCATCCTGTCTTGTGTGAGGTATTCAAACACTTGTATGGAGTCTGACTCTACATTTTTTTTCAGGGAATGGTAAACTCTACATGTTCGGCAGTAACAACTGGGGCCAATTAGGACTAGGATCAAAGAACACTGTCAGCAAACCAACATGTGTTAAAGGTTTGTTTAATTTTCCTTTTGTCTTTCTGAAAGGTGACCCTAGTGAGAAGGTACTTTATAAGATGCAGTTCCAAAATACCTGATTTTGCCACCTTCATTCATCATGTGTAGCATATTACTGCACAAGCTTATAAAGGTGATTTTCCATTAGTTCCAGATTCTGTGTCCTTTTGCATCTGAAGATTACTTCAGATACATGGAATCCTGGGTTTTTTTGAGGGCTCTCATTTTATGTAATATTTGCCTTTTCTGACAAACCACATCCTCATTTTGACTGCAAAGACATTAATCAGATGCTTGGTCTCTGCAATGTTTGTGCGTTAGAAATGAGTTCCCACAGCACTGTGTAACCTTTGTATCACTTCTGTCTTAGCACCTTTATAAATGGGAAGATGTCTATCAGGGACTTTCTACAGGTACTGCTACGTTTTTAGCAAGTGTAAGAAGTACCCTACGGATCATAAATGTTAATATATTTGTATGAAACAGTAAAATAAATGCCTATATTCTTTCACGTGTTGTAAAATATACTTTCATTGCATGTTATCTTCTTGATCTTTCCTAGCCAGTTTTATCTTGTCAAACAAAACTAAGTCAATACTTCTTCCCTATCCCCTTACTTATGTCAAGTCAGATCTATCCCATTGACACATTTCTATTCACCATTAAATGTTTATCCTCATCCTTTCTACCAGCAGATCGATCTGTTGGCTTATTGTTAAAAACAAATTATCCTGCTTGTTCAAATTCTTTTCTTCCTGATTTAGTCCATTCTACTGTCCTTTATCTGCCCCTCTCTCCATTTCACTCTGGAGGGAGAATGCAGCTACTCTCAAATTCACATCTTCTGTCAGCCATGTGAGAGATTGATTCTTACCTTGGCTTAAATGGATTTGGTGCCAAGTTTTGGTTTTACTGTCAAATTGCAATGGAGAATAAAAGACGAAGAGAAGATGACAGCAATTCAAACCTGACCTGGCATCCATTGAAAAAAGTCACGGGGAGGGTATCTTTCTTTGCATGGCAGTAGGCAGCAGGAGAAAGTCCTAGAACTTTTCTCACTAACTTTCAGTCATCACTTGGCTTTGAGAATGCAGATGCAAGAACTCATTTCAGTTTTTGCTGGGAACTACATGGTTGTGACTGCATGTTTCCTGAGAAAATATCTACTGGGACTTGACTAGAGACAAATTAAATTGGTTATGAAAAAGTGCCAGCAACATCATAAATATTGCATGGCTCTTCAAATGCAATTGATTAGCCTAAGTGAGAGGAAGGTTAGGGAGCCCAGGCTTCTGAAGAGCTAGTTAAGATTGTCTCTGAAGTCAAAGGCAGAGATTTGGGATATAAAGCATCAGGAAGAAGCCAACATTGGAGATGTTATGGTTCCAGCGTGGTGGTAGTGGTAGGTGTTGGACAGGATGGGCAAGAACCTGAATTTGAACAATTTACATTTGTGCCTGTGTGACAGACCAGAGACGGTTGATGCTTAAGCATATAGATTTATTCGGTGACTTGGTGGAAGTGACTTTAATCTGAATGTTATGAAGCTGATGAAAGTTGATTTGGAAGCACTGAAAAAGGGTTTGTGAACAGGATGATGGTTGTTGACTTTGTCGTGGACTAGTGCAGTGGAGAAGCAATTAAAGATACGTTATGTAAAAATAATGCTGGTTTAAAAGCATCGTATAGGGCACATGGACATAGCTGAGAGAAAATAAATTGTTGGCAACGATCGGTAAATAGAAAGAGGATGGAAAAGTCAGTGAGATTTGTTTTCCTCTGTTTCTGAAATGGAATGCACTTGTCATGCAGAGAAGTGCATACAATGGGTGGGTGGTAGTTGAGCTGAAATTGAGACCGGATGGTATATGCTAAATCTATTATTTTAGGCCCTAGTCCAGATAGGACTGTACTTAGCAACTGAGTTTAGAGATCAATAAGAGGGCAGTGCAGAGAAAAAGTAGCAAAAAAAGTGACTGTGGATAACAAAGGAAGATAGGGATGATAAGACAAAAAAGGGTATGATTTTAAATATTTAAGAGAGTGGGAAAAGCGTGAGAGTGAGTTAAGAATAGTACTGTTAGTGAAAACTGAAGGCAGATCTAAGCATTCATTTTGTCCTGAAACTTGATATGTTCTTTGAGACATATCCCATAAATGGTAAATTCTGGGGAATGTGGCATTGGGATGAAGTAGCCACCATCAAGTTAACCTGAGTGTCAGCTGTAAGTTTTTAAGGTCTGTATCTGTTTTCCTGTCTTGAGAGAGTGCTGATGTAGTAAGTCATGTGCTGGGTTCATATAGGCAATGAATCTTGTAGTCATTCTGTTGGTAAAAATACGAAAAAAGTCAGAGCTCCCTGTAGAGCATAGAACATTTTGTTGTTGAACCAGCTATCAGCCTGTTTATAACCTTTCCCTCTCCTTTAATTCATAGCTTTAAAAACAGAAAAAACAAAACTTGCTGTTTGTGGAAGAAACCACACTTTAGTTTACACAGGTATGTAACCTATATTGTACAAATATTAAAGACAGATTTCTTCCTTTGTTTTCATGCAGAATTACAGCAGCAACCCCAGGAGTGTTAACGAAGGAAAAAAACCCCAAACAAACAAAAAATGAGACTGTTAACAGTTGGTTTTTTTATATCTCGTTCTTTGAATGCTTGATTCATTCTGAGACAATAGATCTATAAAATAAAGTTATATAGGAGTTTACTAGCAATAGATAGATGAAAAAAATTCTTGCCAGTATTTGAGGTGTGGTTAATAATTTAAATAATTTACAGTACTTATTTCTTTTAAGTCTGGTAAAGGTATATTGGTATTTCTTTATATATCTGCATTCAAATTTACCCTTGACAAGTAATGTATTAGTGTGAAGTTATATATTTGAGTAAATATACTAGAAATTAATATTTTCAAGTCTTCAAATTTTGTTGCATTTTGGTTAGACAAGGTAGCCTGCTATTTCAATGGCAAGTTGCTTTATTAAGCTATAAATAAATAAACTCTAAATTTAATGTAGAAAATAAATTTTTAGAGGGACGGTATACAGAGAATTGATGCAAATTCTTGTCATTATTCTAAAATTTATGTAACAGAATAGCCATCTTTATGTTGCAATCCTTTAGCTTGCAGTAACGTTATAAAGAGGATTGTTTATTAGAGCGTTTATATCCGTAGAGACCCTGAGCACTGTAAATAAGACTATTAGAGTGAAACAGAACATTTTAATAACAGTTGAGTATGCAAGACTGCGCAAGGTAAGTATTAGTCACTTTTAGTATACATGCTGGCTGGATAATTTGTGGCCATTTGTACAGCAAAGACCATTTATAAATTGTATGTCAGTTGCTTATCACATCTGTATCTGGATTTGTGTTATTAATGAGCCTTATCTTTTCATCATAGATGAGCACTTTAGCTGTGTAACCCACCAAAATTAAAAATATAAATCTTAAAGTTCTCTCAAGTTGAAGATACCAATCATCAGCTTTAACAGCTCAATTTTAGGATTCTAAAACAAAATAAAGACCTAGTTAATTAAAATGAAAGTGTTTTAAATAGGAAAATGAGTATAATATTTCTAATAAAAACCTAAGCAAAAATATAGTTCATTCACAGTACTAAAAAATATGAAGTTATGCATCTCTTCAGTTTACATACTAACATGACTTTCAGTTTTCTTTTTCCTGTGACATCATTCACCGTTTTTCCCTGCTTTATCTTAAAATATACATTATTTAGGGAAGGAGCTGCTCCTGGCTGCCAGGGCTACTGGTAGTAATTTTCTCAGAACTCTTACAGAACTTCAAATTATATTTAATTTTTAGATCAGTCTCCAGAATGGTGGGAAACACAGCAAGTCTTAAGTACATGTAAGGCCTTTAGAAAGTTCTGATCCAAACGTGTGCAGGAAAGCCTGCTTGTTAGCTCCAACAGAAACTGCTAATGTCAACTTGAGGATATTTCAGGGCAGCTGACCTCAACTTTTCTGTAACATTTTTCCATTGAAAATTAAATTACTTGCTCCAGTTTCTCTGACTTTTTGCCACTGATGAGAATGTCTTCATTCTGTGCTTTTCTGTATGCAGAAAAAGGAAATGTGTATGCTGCTGGAGGTAACAGCGAAGGTCAGTTGGGATTAGGTGACACAGAGGAAAGGACCGCATTTCATTTAATTAGTTTTTTTACCAACCAGCACAAGATCAAACAGCTGGCAGCTGGATCATACACCTCAGCAGCAGTAACTGGTAAGAAGGACCACTAATAAAATCTATTTATATGTGTCCAGTCTGGTGTTCCAGGGAAGCATTTATTCTAGCATTCTGTCTGTATATGTGTGTGTGTTTTTTATGCCTCCCTGTCTCCTTTCCCTAGTAACCATAGTAATTTTTTGATAACCAATTGCTGTTTCAACACAATCTGGTAAGAGGTGGCAGTCTCATTAACTTCCTACAATTTTGGTGGAAGTAAACTTTTTCCATGAGCGATAGCTGGCAATGGGATCTTAACCTGACCTAGTTTAGTAAGAATCCTTACAAAGGAGAGACAGTATGTATACCCTCAAAATGGGGAAAAAAACTCAGTTCATTTCCAGGGAAGCCAGCTACAAAACTTGAATCTTAAGAAAACTAAGCTTCTCTAATTCCACTCCTTACTGCAACTATTTTGGTCTGGTACAGGGTGCACAGCTGTATCATTACTAATTCTGAGAGAGACCTAACCTATCACCTCTTTCTCTGATGGCAAAATTATACAATGGTGACTTGATGAAGTCCACACGCTTCAAATAATACTTTTAGCTATAGGATGTGTGGTCCTTTATTACCCTATAATGTAATTTCTCAAGTTTTGTTATAAAGCAGCTGTTTCTATACACGATAAGTTATTTCACATTTCAGCATGTGACAGAGAGCATAAGAGCGTATGAGCAAAATGCTAGCCTGCTCATTTGGTTTGTATTTTTTTGCGACAATTGCTAACATTCTCCTGAGATTTGTAAGTCAATTTTGAATTATTTTCGTTCCAAATAGCATCTCAATAGCACTGTAGATGGCAGGTTTTTTATTCACAACTTATTTCCCACGAGTGAGAAATAGGCAGAGAGAGTACCTCATCTCTTCTAGAAAAATCTAGAGATTTTTCATGTTGTTCACTACCTTTTTGTTGGGTTTTTTCACTGCTGCCATTGGTCTTTGTGTTGACAGAGCCTGCTATTACTAAGCCAGGAATAGCTATCTTGGCAGTTTAAGGAAAAAAAAAAATGAAGCTGGGCAATACAATCACCTGTGAAGACAACTGAAAGATAAGGAAAGAGTAAGTGGGATGTGTACCAAAGTCAGAGCAGAGAATAAGTTTGGAAGAATGAGAAAGTGGTGACTTGCTACTAGAAATGAGAAGATGCTTTGAATTCACTCTAATATTCTCATACTGGCATCTGGCAACTGCTATACCTTCAATCTTCCTCTTTTTGGAGTGCTTCTACACAGTACTCTTACTGTTGCTGTCTATGGTCTAACATCAGTTGATGACTGAAAGTTCTGTGTCACTTCTGAAAAGCTTAAGGGGTACCCTCTAACTTCAGACTGTTCTGTTGCATTGTGCTAAACACCATTTTATGTCCCTGAGATCATGCCATTTAGTAGTATCATACACAGAGTTCATGAAATGCTTTTAAATGGATAGATGAGGCTTTTACTAGTTTTGGTTTTAAATCCGTTCATTATCCATGTCTTCATTTTAGAAGATGGGCAGCTTTTTGTGTGGGGTGACAATTCAGAAGGTCAGATTGGCTTGGCTGATGAAGCCTCTGTCAGTGTCCCTTGTCAAGTGGATGTTGGAAAACCTGTTTCCTCTGTATCCTGTGGATATTATCACTCTGCCTTGATAACAGGTAAGAGAATGAAAATAGCCCTTAGTGGAGACAAGTCAGTCATTCTCAAATTGCCATCTTCGTAAAGGTAGCTAATGAGGCATTCATTAATTTTGAAACTAGATATGCCATAGTTGATAAAAACTGCCATGTGGCAGAATGTCATCTCTGTAGTTTTGTATCACACTGGGAGATTTTACCACAGACAGATTTTTAAAGATGTGGTCCTAATTGATTTATTTGGGAAACTTGTACGTAATCTACTATATAATTGTTTATTATTGTTGAATTAAAAATAGCATGAGAAAAAACTGCTGTTAACTGTTGTGAACTGGGTGAACTTATCAGTCAGTATTGATGATATTATATATGAGCCGCCATGAATTCCTCTCAGCTGTATAAATTTATGTTATTAAGCTTTACAGTTTAGTCCCCTCAGAGTAATTAAAGATTTCAAAGGATCAATAGTTTTGATTTTAAAGCTTTTAATGGGTACCCAGGAACTATTCAATCAGATGCTTTCCTCAGGTTGCTTGATAAATGCTACATTTCCACATAACAGTACTGATACAGCTTTCTGAGAATATGCTGTTAACAGAATAAGAGTTTCCTACAGTCGACAAATATTAATTATTACGCTGGTATGTGCAATTTTCATTACAGATGCTTTATTACAGTAAATGAATGAAGTGTCTCCTGACTGATCAGGAACTCAGCACCTGTTAGGAAATGTCCAGCTTCCTGAACTCAAAATAAATGAAAATAAAATAAAAATTAAAGGATCTTTACTTCAAGGATGTAGTAAGAAGGTGTGTGTTTCTGCCTTAGAGCCAAGAGCTGAAGCTCTAACAAGGTTGCAACGGGATGTGACAAAAGCTCTCATCAGAAGAAGGGTTGAGGACAAGCATCTGAGAGCAAGGAGAGAACTGTGTGTGCCAAGTGTGCTAAGGAAGAGGAAACTTTTAATGGAGGGGGATGAGAAAAAAGGATTAGGGTTGCAGCTGGGTAAGAGAAATGGAGCCTCTTAAAATATTAATAAGGAGAATAACTGGTTATCACCTGTGAAAATGGGGAGTTATGGAACCTGTTACCATTTAAACAGGCCTGGGTGTGAGATGGAAAATCTTAATTTTCAGCCTTAGTATCTGTAAATCCTGCACAAATTTGGTTTCAATCTGTCTTGCTGAAACTACTGACATGTGGATGACCTCTCCTGTGGTGAAAGGAGAAATATTTTTCATTGTTTTCCTTTGGGCCCTTGCAGACATTTTTATTTGACTGATACTTTAGCTACCGTAGAAATGTAGTATTGGACATCCAGGTACTTCTACTGAATTGATCATCTGTTGCACTAGTGTCAGTGTCCAGACAGTGTTTAAAAATGAAGCTTATACAAGTGATCTAAGTGTACCATAGTCACGCAGTATTTTAGCTATGAAGTTAGCCATTAAATTATGAATTTGGAAGTTCTACGTGTTGAATATGACTACAAATGTAGTTACCTTATTTTTATTACAGCCTAGTTAGGAAGGAAATCAAGGCACCATGCTGCTAAAAGATTTTGCTTTTAAGAAAGTGATGCTTTTTTCACTTATGGAAAACACTTGCCTGTAAGACTTGCTAGACTGGCTCAGAGCAGTGGTTTGTATCGTCAGTATTCTGCCTCTGAGGGGTGGTAGAACACAGCAAACCAGGTAATTGTGGAATATTTGAAATACTCATATTACATGGATAGGGTTTTTTCCCTTGAATTGCCAGTTAGTCAATGAAATATGCCTTGAAGGGAGTTTCCTATGTATTTTTATTGTATGGTTTTATCTTGTATACCAGTATTTTGAGTGATTAGTGTTATTTTTATATATATTTTTGAGGAGATATCTTGAAAAGAAAGTGGTTCTGTATTTCCAGAAAATAAATTTGAACTGTTCAGGTGAGTGTCTAATCTGTATTAATTCCCTCAGCATCAATAAAGTATACCAGAGGAACTTTTTAAACTTGCAGTTGCTGTTGCTATGGAAGAAATGGGAGAAATGGTGTTAATAGGAAGCTTCAAACATGTGTAACTTATCAGTTATTAGAATACTATAGAATTACTACATTTTGACTTTTTAAAACATGACTTGTACATTAAAAAGCATCAAATAATATAATACCTTCAATAGTAAAACATAGGTGCAGTATGTAGGATTTAATACATGTTGCCTGGCTGAACTGATAAGCATGGCTTCATGTGGTTCTCTTTCTTAATATTTGACATAAGCAGTATACTGGCTAAGCAAACTGATCACAGACATATCTGGGTTAACACTAAAAGTTGGTTAATGAGGATACTAGAATACATAGTGTGATCACAGAGTGCCCTCTCCAGGGCAGGATGTTCATTGATAGGAGACTGTTGAGAAAAAAAGGTGGTGAAGTATGGATTACAGGGGTTTTTTTGTTTGGTTTGTTGTTGTTTTGTTGTTGTTGTTGTTTTTTAACAAACAAAAGTTATTTTTTGAAACAGCTGCTTTTAAAAAGAATTTTTAGTAGGCGTTTGTCTTTAAGGTGTTTAATTACTATGAAACCAAGTGCAATGTCAATGAAAAGTAGAGTGGAATCCTGATGCAAACTTTAGATAGAAGCATGTTTTATGGAAATTGTACAGCATTTGATCAGAGTCACCTGTATTCTACCATGTGCATGTGGACCCTACTGATGCCAAAAGTAGTTGTAGAATAGAAGAACAGAATATATCCTGAATTATTTTTAATAAAAAACACTTCTGAAATTTAAACTAGGCACAAGCACAGGCAATGCTAGCTCATTTCCAAACACAAATTAGGAAGATGGTCTGGTTACTCACTTCATGTTTGAAAGATGATTGTTTGCTCCGTTTTCCTCTCACTTGACATTCTTCGAAGAATTCTACTGACAATAGGTTTTTACTTTATAGTTTTCAGCCTTAAGGACGTTTTCTCAAGTATCTATTTCCTTTCTTTTCTTGTTGCAGACTTGGGGCTTTAGGTCCCCATCTTAGATGTAAGTCTTAAACAAAGCAAAAGAGAAAGAGCGAGCTGAAAGAGCGTAGCAACGATTTTGAGTCCATATACAGATCTTTACTTGACTAGTCTTTGGCCACACTCACTCAAGAGGGGACAGTTTTTCAGAAAGCATTAAGCTTGGCAAGCAGATATAGCTCATTTGTCCACTGAAGGAGATGGAGAGCAGGAGAAGCCAGTGTGTCTAATCACTACTCTGGTGTCTAAAGCAGAATTACAATCGTGGAGCCAGAAAGGTGTTGAATATATTAGACCTCTTTTGGTGTTTCCACTGCCTGGACTGTTACTATAAGCAAGGTCAAGATAGATTCTCACTGAGATGTTTTTTTTTCATAGAGAGCTTTGTGGGTTCCTTGAATTCCTTTTTTTAATGTACTTCGTCATTATTTTTAAGGACGAATTTTAAAGATCATCTATTCCACAAGCACTTTCATGCTCAGAACTCCAGCATTTAAGGTTTCTATCAATTTGGTCTGGAATAAATACTTCTTATTTTTAATTTTTCTTTCATTTATTCAAGGGGTTGGAGAGTGATCCAATTCTTTTGTCTGCCGTCTTCATTTGCCACCAGCGAGGTCTCGTACCTTCTCTCATCTGCAGTACGCGCATTTGTCTTTGAGGAGTGAAAATAGTTTTCCATTCCCTTGCCCACTTCCTTGACATGCTCCTGTGGCCTAAGGTTTAGCGATACAGAAAATGTGCCACGTTAGGTAGGG